TTCTGGATTGGTGGATGATGGGGCTTTAGTTGTTTAGTTGCAGATATCAAAATTTTTCTTTCATTTTTTATCTCTTAAAGAAACCTTAGGAAATTATACCAGAATACTTCAAAGGAAAGCTATTTAGGTCAAGTGTTACAAAGTAAAAAAATGTCAACACGTTTATTGGACACGCTGTGTGGTTGGTCTACTCTAACTATACAGTTCCAATAAGAGCTAACACCCACAAAAATGTTTACCTCTCATATTTTTTGGACCATCATAGCTATAACATCACTCCAATACTACTCAAACAGATCTACTGCTACTTGTGAAACTGCATTATAATAGTATTTTAATTGCATGATCACATGCTACTGATTTTTCACAGGACCCTGGCCTTATTCAGTGTACAGGTTGCAGGTATGGACAACTTTAATTGGGTATTTCCTAGTTTACAAGTGCTTGACTTTGCGACCTAAAAAAGCTCTTCTAATGTAGTTTTCTTGGTAAGTAATAAAGATATTCCCATCACTCAGTGATAAAATTACACCAAGCCAAAATAGGAAAACAAGAAATGTGTCCTTTAATTTTAACTATAAGAAGGTACTTGCACAGTCATCTCACACCTGAATGAAAAGCAGACTGACAAAAAGCCAAGGGACATCTGTTCTGAGCAAACTATCCCAGCACCTGCACTTTGCCTATGGAATTCTTATTTGGCTATTCCTGATGCTAAATATCCTGAGAATACAGGTCAATTTTACCACTACTGCCAAAACATTCTCCATGTGGTTATTGAACACTATATTTATTTAATAGATTGGGGCTAAATGACCACACATCCTTTGTCAATCCAGAGTTCTAATTACTCATATGACAGCACTTCCTAAAATGCTATACAATGAACATAGACAAACACAGCCTCTGCTCCAAAGCTGTTGCAACCTAAACTGGCAAAATCAGAGGCAAGATTGAAGGGGATAAAGAAAATCATCAAGGAAAGTGATTAAGATGAGGATGGGCACAAATCCTTTTCTCTTTTTTTTTTTTAAATTCATGACCCAAGGGTCTCTTTTGTTCTACTGCTTTCAGTCCTCATCTGTTGATGCTTTATTTTAACTGCTGCCTTTCAGTGTTTAATGATTTATAACCCTGGCCTGTTGAACCTTGTCAAACTGCCTCTGTCTCTCAGACTCCTGCTTCTCCAGGGGCTCCAGCAAATATGCAACCCTCTTGATCCCTCTTCCATCTTGTCCACACAAATCAAGATTCAGACGTCCAGGCTAGGTACAAACGTCTGGAGAGATTAGATCATGTTTAAAATGGCCACCTGATCTAATCCACCCAGGTACAGACCTTATACTTAGATTGGCCCAACTAGGGAACTGCACACAGAGGTTCAGAAAGGTTAGATTGGACTAAAAATGGATGACCCAATCTAAGTAAACTGTACCTTGGAGGTAGTCTAATTTAGATTGAGATTGGCAAAACCGATCTAACTGAACTTCTGTACAGTTCCAGCACAGTCTTGGGGCTGGGAAAGTTCATTGGGTGGGATTGTTCATTTGGGGTGGAGGGGATTTGTGGAGCTAAGAATAGCCCTTGGCCCTGGGAGGAAGGGGCAGAAGAGAGCCCCTGCAGACCCCACGAACCCCCTAATCCCACTTGTCCCCCAGTCCCTCCAATTTCCCCTACTAGCCCTACAATCCTGATTTACCTTAGATTGGGCAGCTGTTTTTAACTGGATCTAACATCCTTGAATGTCTGTACATACCCACCGTGTAATTCTAGTGCTCTTGAAGTCAATGGAAAAATTGCCATTGACTACACTTGGGGCAGAATTTCACCTTGTGTTAAATGAAAACAGATCAAACAGCCAATCTGATCGCATCCATCTGTTAAAAAATCTAAGCAAACCCATGGTCTAAAGATGCTTTTTCTCTGGCCATTTTTTCTCTTCCTACAATTATAAGTTTCATAGTTGGTAGGGTCAGAAGGGACTTGAGCAGAT